CAATACCTGCTCACGGGTAATCAAAGAATAACACACAAATGAAAAGGGAGGTGTTGACTATAACAGGTTGAAAAGGCTCCGTGGACATTTTTTTCATAACATATAGACAACAGTGAAAGAAATGACATCTCATAAATAAATTTCTTCGACTTCTACACCCACACATAATTAAACGCCCACGTACTGCTTACTTAGTAGCCCCTCGCACCCTTTGCCATACATCATCACCTCGGCTGCTTCTTAATGCATTCCGTAACTGGAAGTGGTTGAATAAAAGAACATTTATTATGTTTGACACGTAGCAATTTTGATTTGAAATGTGCAAATGTGCTTCTTATTTTACCTTTATGTAAAACATCGACAAAGATAAAGTTTTCATCACGAATGTCATTAAAGTAAGGCCAAATGTGTGGAAGACTGTGTGGAATTTAATCCATATTTAAAGTTCTCACACACACACACACACACACACACACACACACACACACACACATCACACACACAAACACACACACAGCCGATATGCCCCCTCATAATGAATAATTAGTAGTTTTGAATTTAAAAGCCCTTTCTTAGATCATTAAAAAAAATTCTGCCGAAAGTTGTTTTGCCCTTTACTTATTGTTTACTTGTTTTGGGTTTTTTTTTTCATTTTTGGATAACCAAGAAGCTTTTCTCTAGTGACAATAAAACAGGATGTTTTATCGATTACATCATCAGAAGATACAGTTTATAAAATTATTACATTTGGTAGTCCGAAGTAACCCTTTTATCACCATATTGCAATGTCAGTGTTGTGACAGGAATAAGCCAAATCTTGCATTTTCCACATCCTCACCAAGTCATCCAAACAAAGTGATCGCAACTGAAACAGATTAAATACCAACGTCTCTCAGGTGATGTAGGACATATGAATCCCAGCCTCAAAGTCACATATGCCTCAATGTTCTCAACCAGAAGATAAAGAAAAGATTATTAAAACTCATCCACTCCTTCCACAGCTTCCTTTCCAGTTCCTTCATGGAAAAGAGCCAGTTGTTCATAAGATAACCTTTGCTACTGGTTCATTTAAATATTGATGCTAAAGGAGGTCAAAGGCCATCCTCTGGCAAATGCATCATGCACAAGACATTTTGACACACTAGAAAAAAACAGTTTTACGGCTTCAGATGTGAATTGTTTTATCTGCCTCTCCATTGTTTAAAAGCAGATCATGAAAACACAACCAAGATGTATTTAGTAAATTGTGGTGGACGGGAAGCACATTTTGATTCCACTCTTTACATTATATCAAAAGGTAAAATATACAGTTTCAATGGTTGGATTTGTATCACTATGTGAAGACTCGACCTCCTCCAGTCTAAGTTAGCTGTGCATGTGCATTTGCACATTACTCAAAACTTATTCTTAATCAGTCAGACATATTTCTTTTGGGGGGGATAAAAAGGCCCCTCAGTAAGAGAGCTGTATAATGAGAGTCAGCATTTACCTGGTTGGAGCTCTTTTAGCTTCAAGTTAGGGAGCCAGCTTTTCTGTTTTGGTTTGAGCTCCTTCTATTTTAGTGTAAAATGCTACAGCTCAACTGCAATGACATTCTTTGAAGTGCAAATAGGGCAAGAGCCTCTGCAGAGGATGCTAGTTTTTTTTTAATCATGTTTCTTTATGGTGCATATATGTCCATTAATATTAACTATTATATCTCCATAGCACAGTCCCTGAAAGCCATTTGAACAAATTCCCTGTCAACATGTCATGCCCACAGTACTTGCATTCATCTGCACACAGTGCGTGTTGCTGAAGCTATTACAGCCCATTTTACAAGATACATTACTTTCACCAACTCCTAGAGCAGTGAAAATGTGCGCTCTCATTTCAGGACATCACCTTTTCCAGCCGTTGGTTATCTGTAATTTGCCCTTGTGGGTAGTGCATATGTTCTTTAATTCCATTAGTGTGACCATATACTGTATAATGTAGACATGGTTGATTGGTGATATTACCAGACTCGGAGTCTGGTAATTCTGAGTGTCAAAGTAATGTGACAGTAGGAATACTGATCAACTCAATCCAGGGATGTAAGCTTGACATTGATGTTATGCAAATGCAGTGCCACTCTCCCAACTGTGTCCACACACTCTCAGCTCCTACGAGCATCAGGCGTGAAGTTTCATATGATCCAGTGATAATGGGAGCTCGTATCCACCCAAAGTAATAGAGGACACCAAGTATAATCATGGGTGAGTAAATAATAAGCTTATACCTATTCATCTTTGTCTCCCACCATTGTCTCCCCCACCTCATCCGCACACAGGCCCCCCTCAAGCACATTACATGCTGTTTTACAAAGAGTTGTACACGACCTTTGGTTTTTTCTACATAGACCATATTCGAATGCATTATGAATCAAGCTGAGAAATATAAAATATAAATCATCATATTGTGTGCTTAATTTTTCAAACGCAAGATTAACCCTGCTCTCACTGTAGTTGATCGTCAACATGGTGAAGACAACAGCTGTAAGCTGTGTGCCAGATGCTGCCCCGAGGTAACCGCTTTGAACAAACGCTGAGATTTTCATATCATAAATCTCATTTTTCTTGCATGCTGACAGCCCCAGCCCCAACAAACCAAGCATTTAAACAGACCACATGTCCTGATGGGGACTTCACGTACTGTTCTGGCTGTCCGCGTATAAGCATTCCCTCATGGTCAATCAACCAAAAGAGAAGTGTGCTTGAATGTGTTTCTTCTTTGTGCTGAAACAGCAAATGTGTGTGATTTAAACTAACCTATAAGATAAGCCATCAAAGTTGTCTCCTCCGGCCATTCCCTGCGCACTAATGCTCTGAACGCACCAAGTGAAGTTAGTGTCTTAATTACAGTGCACTCTGAGATAACGATAACGCTTGCATTAGCCTGATTGAAGATGGCGGCAGAAATGCAAATGTGCAAACGCCGATATACAAATATTAAACGGTTCAAGGCCAAAGCAAGGTGAAAAAAGAGTCAATGTCTTATTTTCTTCTCTTGCTCTCATCAGGGGATTGAAGTGCTCAAACAACAATGTTTTAATGCCATGTAAAATGATCCATTTAAAAGCTGCTGATTAGGATTAACCTTGATTAGCTCTAGACCACATTTCCTGCACAAATTACTGAAACCTGAATCAATGAATGAATCACACAAACAGCAGAGTTCAAACTAATCCTCAAACCCCAAACATCGTGAAAACAACAATGGAAATTAAATTAAAGTAATCCAATCTCAAGTTTAGACAATGCGTGAGGTTGATGAACAAAACGACCATGTTAGAGAAAGTCACAATGAGACACTATGGAATCCAATTCTAACCGCCGGAATCTGTGGAGCCTTGTGTTTTCTTCTGGTGGTGAGTGTTCGGTGTATCCTACAATTTCACCTGTTTATTTATACATTCCGCCTTAAAGCGGAGTACTTTACAGCTGTGAAATGTGAAGGGGTTGTAAAGAGGGATCCATTTGGGAAATGGCTTTTGCCATCATGTGTCCCACAGGCTGCACTTCTTTGCTTGCTAAATCACCACAAGCTATATAGAAACAGTAATATTTTAATTATACTGTGGCTTAATTTTAAAGGAGAGCAATGACACTTGAAAAACTACCACTTAGCTCATGAAACATAATGTTTTCCACGTGTTTCTTAATTGGCCGTTAGAGATAAATGCAGGCCTTCCAAAGACCCAAAGCCCTGTTGGATCTGCAGAGGAGCTCCATCTCAGTGTACTCAGAGAAGGATAGTTAGGGCACCCTTAAAGCTGATGCTGGGTCCCTGACATGCATTCCTTTCGACACCAAAAAGCCTACTTCAGGGTAATATTTTATGATAACTGTATGAAGAGGGGAGCACAAAAAGACTGAGCCTGACAACACCCTTTACATTCAGCATAATGTGTCTGGGTGTGACATCCTTTTTTGCAGATCTTCTTAAGGTTTTTGAACAGATTAACTATGTATAAAAAATATTTATGCTCATAACTAACAGTTGTTGTTTATCTCAAGATAAATAATACAGGTTTTTCACTTTCAATAATCAATTATTGTTGCCTGTTATTGTCGTCTGGTAAATCTTCTTTCTTGTTTACCTGTTTTACATTTATTTTAATATGTCCCTTTATGTTTTGTATCCATCCCCTTGTAAGTTTTTTTCTAATAGTTAATTATTATCAAATGTTTATCTTATATCTCTAGAAAATGTAGATCTTGACCTCTTCAGCAAACATGCTGTTGAAAATAAGCTTTTAGCTGTTAGGTGCAATATCGTTCAGGGTGCCTGTTAAATGAAAAACAGATTTAAAAATAAATATATATTTTTCTTTCTTAGAATGTAATCAGAAAGCAAAATGGGAATTTAAATCACAATTTTCAGCCTTGCCTCATCAGAATGCGTGTAACATTTGCATTTATCAACAAATGTGTTGGTGTTACAATCTGTGGTTGTAATTTGTGAGAAAACAACATATCCTTAGGCCATGTTTTCTGCATGGCAGCGTACAAATGACATGACGGGAACCACAACTTATGAATAGTAAAATGTGCAAGCCCAGTCGATGTGTGATTCTCAGCACACTGCAAAGCATATGGACACTTTGACAAGTATGAAGTATGTTGAAGTGAGTTGCATCTGTGGAGGAAGCTGAACAAGGTAAACACAGTCATTGGACAATATTTTAGACTTTGTGAAAATGCAGTATCATGTCATGCCATCAGTTATAACTTTAGCATTTATATACTGAACACAAATGTTCATTTGCTTTAACATAAATAACCTTCATAGGGAAAAAAAAAGTGTTTTTGAAAAACAAAACAAAAAACAGCAGCAACAATAAAAGTCTTGTTCAACCCGCCCCAAAATAGTACCAACATATTGTGCAAATGTAATCTGAGTGAGTGAGGCAAAATAGATAATTAACCCCTCTACAAATGTTTTTTTTTTCTTTTATCTGTTTCTCTTTTTCTCTTAGAAGCAGTACTACAGCTTTCATGCAGCTTTTATCCTGCATACGAGGTAAGAGAAAAGAGATCTTTTCAAAAGGCCGCATGGGATTTGTATCTTTTGTCTAACATGTTTGTGGAGAAAAAGTGGAGAGATTTTGATGATGTAAGGCAAAACCTGTAGCTCCTTGATGACAAAAGACATTACATCCTCTGGGTTTATTCTATAAAGCTGGCTTATTGATCAGAGTCCGTTTTTAGGCTTTGCTCCTTTTTTCTTTTTTTCATATGTTCATATAGAACTTCATTCATAACTCCAAAAGACTGACTACCTTTGCCATAGATACAGCAACAAAGACAAAAAAAGGGTACGTACAGCTATGGTGAACATAGCAAAACATTTATTATTCTGCATCCCTTCTGTGAATTCTAGGTTAATTCTCTGAGACCTTTCCCCCTTTTTAGCAATCTTTCAATGGAGGATTCTAATAAGATTGTTGTCTAGATCAACACTTTTACACAAACACCATCACTTTTTAAAAAAGCAAAGAAAAAGAAACTGAAATATGACCTTTAGGGTCGGAGAGATGAACAGTGGATAAGACAGGAACAAGGCTCAGCTGGACACATGACTTGAGGTTAGGCCGCTATAGAGGTTTATTATTATTCTGTTTGAAGTTTTTCCTCTACTGTCTGTCAGGAAATATAACCGCACCTCAAGATGTCTTTTTCTTGACTGTATACTGTAGAATTGTATTGGATCTCTAAATACTACAGTCTCAAAGGAAAATATCTTGGAGTCATGAAATTTTAAAACGAAGTTTAGATTGCTGGATGTGAAAGTGACCCCCCCACAAACTCTGGTGCAGTGGCACAGCTGGTGCTAAGAAGATGATCCTGTGACTACTTCACTGTAACATTTGGACATCCCTGTGGATGAACAGGTTGAAAAGGAGGGTATGCAGCATTTCAAAGGGCTCAGGTGTTTCTCAATTTCCTTAAAGGTCTAAGTAAAACCCTGAAGTCCTGCCGGATGTTTCAGACCTTAAAATAGATTAAGAACACCATGGTAGGTTTTTGCTCAGATGTCTATCCGCCACAAATTTTGCAAAAGCAGTTCATATCTGATGTAATTTTTGGAGTTAAGATGTATTGGAGTATTGCTATCATCCTTCTTGTGAGTGACATTTGATTTAAATTGTTAAAGTACTTGAATGTTTTTGTGTGGTACTTGGATCATTTCATACATAGGAAGTCATTCAAAGACCTGGGATTCAAGAAACTGTACAAACAATTTCCCAGGTAAACAACATGGCCAAGACAAAATCCAAAAGTATTGGAATATAGACAAAAGAAGAAAGCAACAGATACTGTCGTGTGTATTTGCACTAGGTGAGTTTGAATTAATATAAACAGATGCCTTTGTTGGAAACAAACCAAAGACCACAAGTAAAAGAAAAGTAGGTAATGAAAATCATTTAACCAAATATAAAAAGCCATCGCTCACTCTTGAGAGTAAGAGGGCAAAACATGTCCTACTTAGAAAAGTCTAAGTTCAAAACCGAGAGGAAATGAACACTGGAGGAGAGGAAGAGGAACAGAATGAAAGAGGTGGACGAGAAGGAGAAGGAGGACTAAGGGGTGGAATCCATGCAGATGAAGACAGGTGGGAAAATAGCATTAGAAAAAAAGAAAAGAGGAGAAGGGTCTGTTCTCATCACTATGTTGATTGCTATAAACTGTGCTATTTTTAGTATATTCCCTATATGTTGACATACAAAACGAGACAACATGCAAACAGTTAAACATTTACTGCTTCCTCCATCTGTATAAAAATAAAACTGACATATACCATGTTTGAAAGGGGAAAATTGTATTTTCTGCACAAAAATACACAACTCTTATAAGCAGAGTGGACATTACTGTCAAAGATCTGAGATTTTACAAATGAGTCCCTACGAACCATCACAAAGCCCTGGCCTGTTCACAGAAAGTGTGTGAACGGTCCATTTATCTGGAGTTTATCAGACAGGGCGCATTCTCTAATGAGACAGAGCCGTGCTACTATAATTAAAATTGATGTGGCACATGGTTTGGGCTACAATTTTGCAGCTGCATCAACTCTGATTGAGACGTAGTTGAGAATGTGAGAGCAGGTAAAGAAAATCAATGTCACATATATTACTGCATTATTATGTCATAATAATGCAGTAATCCATCATCTGCATCTGAGCCAGTAATGACAATGAGGACAGTTTATTTTCTTGAGTGTCTATTTTAGGGTTTATATTTCTTTGGAAGTTTTAAGAGTTAGTGATGTTGAGAAAACTTAAATTCAAAATACTTTACTCTGCACATAATATAGTATCGCATTAAAGTCCTTTGCAAGTGCAAGTGCAAGTGCAAGGAACCATTTTTAAGGGAATCAACAGCAATATGTATTCCAATGAATAAACACACATTTTTATTTCTAGATTCACAGCTCCTGGTGTTGTTTTATGAGTAGGTCATTAATTTATCAGCATATCACCAGTCAGTAGTATATCAGCAGTCTAAGTTGTCATAAAAACTTGATTAACAGGAATAATATGCTTCGTAAGCCTGATTTTAGGGAGAATGTCATGCTTTTTTACATTACAATTTCATGTTGGCAGATACATAAAACATTTACTGGCAAAAACAGAATCACACTCTTAAAATACAGATACATCAACTGGAAACCACTGCCAGTATTTTTACATTGCAGACGTCAACGAAATATAAGTGGATGTAGGAACTAGGACCATAACTTAGGAAGATCCATGAAAGCCTTGCTAGAAAAATGGCTCTTAGTTGGGGTTGAGTTTATTAGCATCCCTATCATGAGGCACCCGTCATTCAAAGGCTGTTTCCAGAAGACTTAGCCTTTCTTGAAGTTACGCCGGCATAACAGGGAGTCATTATTATTGATGCCTTGACAGGCAGTAAATATCAGCTAAAGGTAAACTGGCAGTTATCTGAAGTGCAGTATTTACCACTCTGATGTGATTGCAAGATGAATGCCAATTAGATACAGCAGAGGAAGCAAATTTCAAAGTTTAAAAGACAAACAAACACACAAGGAAGAGCTACCTCTGACTTCATGGCCATTAGTTTTTAAAAAGTGAATAATTATTCTGAAGACAAGAATCTTCAGTCTAAAGAAGACACACCGATAACTCTGGTTTACTTCTTTAATGTCTTTAAAAACGCCCCTCCATGAAATATTGGATCTAACAAATATGCAATTTCTTATCAAATACCTCTAACCCTGACAAAGTAAAGGAGAGAATTCAGTGAGGAACCCACATTATTGTGTTGTGAGGGGAGTTTTATCCCCTTGTCAAAAAAGGGATACTTTTATCCCTCTAGTTTGAATTACATCTAGGAGACTTATGTACATTGAATCATATGGATATCAAGGGTTAACATATAATTAATAGCATCAATGATTCTGTTTTTGAAGATGTGTATTGATAACGAGCCTTCACAACAAAATAGAAAATTGATTTATTCATTAGACCACAGGCTTTGGAATGCATCTCATCTTTTAATGGGGCACACAAAATATACATTTGTTTTCGATTTTGATAGTACAGTATACAGCTGTATGATTTGTCTTTTAAATTGCAGAAAAAAGACATTAACAGTCCAATGGCTGTAAATATTTCTAAATTATTACTGAATGTAAATTTGACATTTTAATGTGACATTATTCGACCAATGTCATTTGATATAAATGAAATTCAATTCACCAACCAGAACATTTGTCATCCTGCAGGCCTGCAGCTAAAAGGTAAATTCCAGGTTCAGATGTAACAAAACAGCAAGACTGCAAAGCAGGCTTTCTTTGTCATTCAACTTTTTAATTAATCAATTGATTTATTTGACCAAACATGCTAATTGAGAGTCATTTGGAGCTTTTGATTGTTTAGGGGAGGAATTCAATATTTTTTTGGCACTGACTCAGCCAAATGTGGCTGGTTGTTTCCTTTTATCAAGTGACCATGATTTGCTTTATTCTATTCAGTACAAATGGCTTATTAATTTGATGTACCATTTGTGCAAATGTCCATAACTCAGCCACATATTATTTGGTGCTATTTTTATAGTATAATTGGTGTCTTTACAAAACATATTCACTACCCACAGCCTCACTTATTCAAATTGAGGAGAAAGTAATAGCAGACGTGGATTGATAGTAAGTGGGACTCATGTTCAAAATGCAGAAACATTGGCCTATAATTATTAATTGATTATTGATGCATCTTTTTGTGAATACTTCATGTGTAAAGGCCTGGAGCGTGTTATATTTTGATGGACATACTGTTCATTTCATGTGATATGTATAACTAATTATTTTGCAGATTATTCTAGATTATTGTTGTTTTTTTCCTCTTTAATAGTATATTTTAAGTCTCAAGTGTCTTTTTCATCACGTTTAAATTTAAATGGTTTAAAATAAGAATAAAAAAGTGTTTGACTCTCGTTTGTCAGCCACACTAAATGGATGAGAAACCATTAACAGTTCAAAGCCCAAACACTATTACAGCTCACTTTGTAAGCCTCATGTGGCTCTTGCCAAGCCTTAATCAGTAGCTCACAGGGCAGATAATAATTATATGATAATTCAGCCAGTGTTCATAATCCCTGAAATGCTCAAAACAGCTACAGTAGACAAACCGACAAAACAAACTGCAGAAACGAGGCCCATATTACTCACCCTGGTGTTTGCACCCCACAAACAGAGCTGCTGTTGGATCTGTAAATAACACGACACAAAGCGATCATTTAGGTTGAGAAAAATAACATATTCAGCGTACAGTATCCTTGAGGCTTGAGAACACTGCACGTTCAGGCTAAAGCATCATTACCCCGTCTAACAGTTTGAGTTAACACTCATTTTTGAACAGCTTCTGTCTCCTTTTGGTTACTATTTGAAAGAAAAAATCAAGACCTGTAAAGTCACAAAGATCTTCTGTTGTTCTGAAGTCCAAAGCAATTTCACAAAAAGAAAAACAAAAAAACTGTAGAACAATGAATACCTTTTCAGCT